TGTTAATTTTAATAATCAGGTTACACAGTCAGTGTTCCCTCTAAGCTGAGTTAGTGTGAGCTAGCTCACAGTTTTTTAGCCTCCATCTCACAGATTTTTGTTTTAGCTCAGGAAGGATGGCTCCAGAGCAAACTAATTTATGCAGCAGCCAAATCGCTGGCTCACAGCTTTAATGCCAGTGGCTCACAAAGTAGAAGTTTTGCACACAAGACTCCACAGCTTAGAGGGAACATTGGTTACACTGGGGTCTTTATTGTATATGATAAGTATATGATTTAATTACCGTATTTTTCGGACCATAAGACGCACCTGACCTTAAGACGCACCTAGTTTTTAAAGGAGGAAAACAGGGGGGAAAATATTCTGAACCTTCGGTCCATAAGACGCACTCACTTTTCCTCCCACTTTTTTTGGAAGAAAAAGTGAGTCTTATGGTCCAAAAAATACGGTAATTAATGAAGTTATAGTAGTACATTAGAATCGTGTGCTTTGTTTTCGTTACACGGTATTTTCCACGTTTTACTCAACCTTACAGCAGGGCCTGGGCGGGAAGGCTCCGATTGCCTCCGATCTCCCGTTTGCATGCACAGTACAGTTGAACAGAGTTGCCAAGTCTGGGCTGGGGAATCCCTGGAGATTTGGGGGTGGAGCTTGCCCTTCCCCCAGGAATTCCCTACATATTGTACAAGGCAAAGGCATCCAGGTCGGGTGGGATTCTTGGTGCAGGATTCCTCCGTCTCTCACAGGCAGGGCCTGGGAGGACATGAGAGAAAGGGAGACCCAGGCAGATGCACTTGTCCCAAGGAAGGAGGAAGGCTAGGAATGGGAGAGTCTCTCTCGGCATAACTAGAATGGACCCACTGGCAAAACATCTGGCTTACCTGCGGAACAGGGCGCTGCCGTGGCCAGATCCCACATCGGGACAAGAGGGTCGTCATCCCAGGAACGGTACGGGTGATGTGAATGGGCCTTCTTACTCTTGACCAAGAAAGACCGTGGCATTTTCCGCTTATGGACAGAGATGCAGGAAGGTGGGTAGTCAATCTTAAGACTGGAATAAGAAAAAGAACCACAGACATTACCCCTGGTCCCTCTAAACAGAAGAAGAAGAAGAAGAAGAAGAAGAAGAAGAAGAAGAAGAAGAAGAAGAAGAAGAAGAAGAAGAAGAAGAAGAAGAAGAAGAGGAGGAGGAGGAGGAGGAGGAGATTGGATTTATACCCCACCCTTCACTACCCGAAGGTGTCTCAGAGCGGCTTACAAACTCCTTTCCCTTCCCCTCCCCACCACAGGCACCCTGTGAGGTAAAAGAAGAAGAA